CTGCAGTCTGTATAAAGCACAGGCCACAGTTACATATCACATAATCCTGAAGATGGCTAAGTAACTCTATGTTTGATTTCCAAGAAGGGCTTCAAGAACTAACTTTAAGTAATACTACTAAACTTTATGAAACCCTGGAACAATTATAGATAAAAATCTTGATGTACTTTGCAAGTATTGTTTCAAAAGTAAGCAAGCCAAGAATTTTAGCAAAATCTTCCACAGAGATTCTTCTAGCACTTTGTGAAAGTCAATCTTATATCATGCCAGAACTTGTTTGACAAAAATAAACATTTTGTGCTATTTTTTTTTTTTAAAAAGGAATCAGTTTGCTTAGCTTTCAAGGCATTCATTAGAAGCACCCTAAGAAAGCTCAAGTAAAAAACAAATGTGAATTAGCTAACCCAAACCAAAACAAAAAGGTTAGATGGATACCCAGTCACAGCATCCACTGGCAGATGGATATTTTTATCCCTGTACAGTGCTAGTAACTTGTTAACTGGTTAGGGATATTAATTATCAGACTTTTAATTTAAAACACCATTCTGTTGGAGTGCCACAAATAACTGCCTTGCACTTTGAGACACTGAAGAGGTTGCAATAGTGAGACAGAAAAAATGAGATCAATAAAAAAGGGTAGAGTGGAGTTCAGAGTGGGAAGTTGAGGAAAAAGGATCACAGTGTGTTTATATTTAGACAAGATGTAACTTGCCTTTTCCTTACCAAGTAAAAGTTTTTGTTCTAATAAAGTTTATTTTATGAAAACATTTTGAGTAGAACAGGAGTGAGGGAAGAGTATTTAAAAATAGAGTTGATAAGGTAGATAGAAGGAAACTAGCTGGAGGAATGTAGAGTAAAAAAAAAAAAGGATCATGGAAGGGCAGATAAGCAAAAAAGACAAGTGGTTTAGACAAGGCCATTGCTTTTTACGAAAGGCTAATAAGCTTTAGTGTGTTCAGTGTTGAAGCTGATGGAGAATTCAGGATCATCAGATTAAAACGTGTAACAGGGGGCTGAGATTTTTCAGGTTCTGTCCCCAGCAGCACACTGCAACTGGGAGTGCACCATACAAACACACAAGGAGACAGTCCCTACCACAAACAGTTTACAGTTGGAATATAAAAGACAGCAGGTGGTACAAACAAGAGTACAAAACAAGACAATAAGGATGAACATACTAGGCCTTTGTCTTAGTACCAGTTGCATAACTACTGTCAAGATTTTTTTGTACATACCACACCAACAAAAAAAGTTGACGAAGAGGAATTTGAGGGAGAACAATTAATGTATTTTTCTCACGTCCCACACAAATCAGACACGCACCTTGGTTTTATGAAGGCAGAATGAAGAAAAAAAAGATTTTTGCAGTTACGTCCACACAGATCACAGGTAGTCTAATTTTTAGCTCACACACCTTCCCTTTCCTACTCAGGCAGAAAACAGTTTTAACCCTTTCACAGTTGAACTGTCAGCAACTCTTGCCTGCACAGCCCAAAACTAAAACTGTGGTAGGTACTTCTGAAGACTAGACTCCATTGGGTGCATCTACTGTTTTGGAAAGAGCTCAAAGTCTGCCAGGCTGTGAAACAGGAGATAAGAAACCAAGAGTAGCTAAAAGACAGCAAAATTGCTGAAGCTTGATTGGTAGAACACCAAGACTATTAAAAAAAGGAGGGGGATGATAACCCTTATGGAGCAAAGATTCAAGTATGTTAGCAGAAATCACTTAGCAGGAATCAGGTAGGTTACAATGAGCCATGAAGGCAAATCGATTCCTTCAGCAATTCCTGAACAGAAATAACTACTGCTGCCAGGCAATCAGTTTTACATTTTGGATGAAGCAGGAATCAAAGCTTGGTGCGACAACATCATTGTGCCCCCCTGGATCTGCTCCTTCTGGATTCCACCTCCTCCTCCATGTGACTGCTGGAGGAAAGAGGAAGAAAAGAAGGAACAGCCATCTTACAGTATATCTCCATGCTTCCAGTCTGGGCATAAATCAGCAAGGGTAGCATGGGGAAATGGGAATGCAGAAAGCACAATGCAGAGGGGAGCATGGGGAACAGGATGTGCGGTGCAGGGGAGAACACAGGGAAGGGACACACAGTACTGGGAAGAGCATGGGGCAACAGATGCGTGGAGTGAGAGGAGCATGGGGAAAGGGTGCAGAAGAAACGTGAAGCATGGGGGAGGGGGATCGCAGAGATCAGTGCAGGGGGAAGCGTGGGGGGAAAGAGTATGAAGCACAGAGGGGAACACAGGGAAAGGGCACACGGTGCAGGGGGGAGCATGGAGGAAGGGGTGGCAGGGGGCCACAGGTGAAGGGCTGTGTGGAGCAGGGGTAGTGTGGGGAAAAAGGGAAGAGCATGGGGAAAGGGATGTGCAGGACGTGCGGGAAGTAAAGTGAAATGCAGGGAGGGGGCATGAGGTGCAGGGGGAGCACAGGGAAAGGGATGCATAGAGTAAGGGGAGTGTGGCACAGCAAGGAAGCCACTGCAGTTCTAGCCTTGACCCCAGTTGAGGCTTAAGGCTGAATCTAGAGCCATGGTTATTGCCTGGCTTGGCTAGGTGCTCTATGCCCCCAGCGGAGACAAAGTAAGAGCAGATGAAAAAGTAAGGGGGGAGGGTGGCAGACACAAATGGGAGACGACTGGTAGGATGGGGAAGGCATTGAGAGATGGGACAGGCCAGAGGGGAGAAGGCTACCTGCCTTCCAGCCTCAGATTTCCCTGGGGCAGTAACAGAAGGGATGAATATAAGAAGACTCTCCAATAACTAGATTGTAGACGTGGAAAATTAAAACATTATCATTTTTCGTGTCTAGAATCTACTAATTATGGGGTTGTCTTAAATTCAGGGTCATCTTAGACTTGGGTAAATATAGTAAATAATATAGGCCAGTGTATGCAGTGTTTCATTTTGATCATTAAAGAATGTCTCTCACAGCTAACTGTGTATCTGACTATGTTATTATAAATGCCATCTGATACTGATTTGTATGAGAGACCTAAAGTTTATTCTCAGCTACAAGCTGGGATGTAATCACTTGCTCATGAGAAAAAATAATCACCTCCTTTTCACCTTGCTTTTTAATTCTTAAGGGAGTTAGAAATAAAAGATGCCAAGCATTGGACAAAACTTAGCGTGTCATTTGAAGACAGCCACAGGTAAAAGCAATTGAAAGCAGTTACAGTAAATTTTCTTAAAAGCAAGCATCCATTTCAAAGGTCATAATCATGAGCAACATCTTTTACTGGCAGTATCAGCAGCAGCAGCAGACTGCATTACTCTTTCACTCATATAGAGAAGCCCTCCAGAACAAGGCTAAAATAGACATTTCAGAAAGCCACAGTTCTGAGCTCATTTTCTGCTATTCATTTTGCCAGCTGCTTCCCTTCCCAAGACCCAGCAAGTTCTTGGAAACTTACAAGTTAAGCAGAAGGTATTTCAGTTTTAAAACTCACAAGAAAACCCCCAAAAATGGAGACAGCAAGCAGCATGCAATACATAGCATAAATGTTTAAGTACATTTCTGAAAACAAAATAAAGTGAGTACATGTCATTTCAATCCTGTCAGCCTTGACAGTGTTTCCAGGCTGAAAATATAGTCTGTCAAAACATACAGGTCCAAAATAAGCTAATTTAAGTACTATGAAAGAACAGTCAATGTAGCTATTTCCATTAAACAAAAAGAACGGGGTATGACCCACACTTCTAAAAAGCATTATCCTACTATCTCCTACTAATAACAAATGGGTCCGAAATGAACCATGGAACATTTTGTTCGACTTCAGCAATTACTTTTATTACTCTATTGTCTTTAGTTTGTCAAACATGCTAGATTCTTGTTGCTGTGTTTGTTCTAAAACTTATGCTGCCCTGTATTTAAAATACACAACATAAAGTTACATACTTCTTTCCTGCTTGCTCTTGTCTTTGTTGTTCTTGGATGCCATCAGCAGCTTGATGGAAGTCAAATACTAAATAAAATGTAAAAAATCCTTAGAATGCAGATTTGCATAAAACTTTACCCTAAGCAAACAGAAATGAAGGATCCTTCCTACAAATTATTTTTCTAACAAGTCAAGTCTTTTTTTCCCCTCATATGGAGAAAAACAAACACTTTAAAGTATAGCACTACAATAGACTACAGGTCAACTGATGCCGCCGTAAAAGTTTATTTTTCTCAACACACTGAATTCCTGAAGGTCAAAAAACAATTACCTCAGGCCTCAGATTCACTATTTGTTGCACAGAAAGGAAGGAAAAAAAATATGCAACACAGCCAACTCAGCTTTAATAAGGACTCTAGCATTTCTCCAGCTGCAATTTTGGTTTGTATTTTCACTTCTTCCCTATGATTTTCAGTGATCTAAATCCTTAGATCAGCCTAGATAACTTGGACCATTTTTAAATTTTCTGTGAAAAAAGCAAGACAATCTTACTGTTTTGATTGGTTACACAGCTTATATCAAATTAAGACCTTAAATTTTACAGCCATAGAGGAACAGGGGCAGAGGAAACAAGGGAGCTGGAAAGCTAGCTAGTAGATGAAAGAGGGACAATTAAAAGGGCAATCAAGACACATCCTGCCAATATTTTTAGATATACAAATTAAAGGACATTCTTTGCAAACTTATTCTATTCAAATATCCTAAGAGCTTTTATGAATAATGATCTAAGCCTCTTAGAAAGGCACAAGGAGCTTTTTTAGCGTGTATGGAATAGAACATGTTATCCCCAAGGCAGCCATGGAATATGCCTAGTTTCATCTTTGTTATCGGTTCTGAGCGGTCATGCTTGCCTATGTTAATATCCATTTTGTGTGTGGCAAGTTTCATGTGGCTAGATGGCAATACACATCTAGATTATTTCTAGCTACAAAGCTGAAATACCTCTCCCTCAATTTTCAAGATAGCCATGAGGTTCATTTACAGTAGGAAAATGTCTCATTAATGGTAACTGTAGATCGATCAAAAAAGCTATTTCAGCATAATGATTCAGAAACTGCGGTCCTGGTGTAACTCAGTTATTCTGAAAAACCTTCCCTGCATGACCTTTATTCTGAAAACAGAGAGTCATTTTATCAAGGAACAATTTCCTTTATTTTCTTAGCAGATTATATTGTGTAAATTATGTAAACAAGGCCTAAATAGCAATCATTTTTTTCTTTTAAAGTTCCAGAAAAGAGCTCCCCACCCACTAATGTTGCACAGTGTTTTAGCTCTCCCTCAGAAGACCCTAAACTGTTATATGCCAATAAATCAGTTTCTTAATACCTGTGGACATCATTACATACACTCACTAAAATACTATTTTATGTAAATATATTTACACAAAGGGAAAGCTGGTAAGTGGTAACAAAGTAACTAAGTCAGAAAGTACTGTATTTGCTTGTTTCCAACGCAATTTAACATGTTGGAAAACCAAGCCTCATCTTAGAATAGAGTATGCAACTGTTCTAGCCAGGAGCTGTGGCACGTGGTAGTGTCCCCAGCTGATCCGGATGCAGGTGGAGCCCCAGAGCTTCTCCTGCCCTGAGCTGCAAGCAGCTGTGCAGGGACTGTGGCTCAGGTAGGGACAGTGAAGGTAGAACTCAAGTTCTGCCCTCCAGTGCCTGCTCCCTGCCCATGGGGGAGACAGCAGAGGGCATGGGGAAGTGGCAAGGGAGAAGGTGGGGGGTACAGGAGGAAAAGGCGGCTTCCTATCCCCCCGCTGGTCTGCTCCCTGCCACAGCAGTTGGGGGTAGGGAGGGAGGAGATGACAAATTTAAGATTATCCTCCAATAGTTAGATTCTATAACAGGGAAGATTATAGCAAATTTATAATTTTCCCTGTATAGAATCTAATTTTTGAGAGGTTGTCTTAAAATTTGAAATCTTTGTGTATTCAGGTAAACACAGTAGTCAGGCCTCAAGAAGGTATCTGGGAGTAAAAGTTCTCTTTTGATGTTTTGCAGGGCTCCTGATGACAAATCTGATTCTACTTCAGGTTGCACGTCCAAAGGCACTCTGAAATGCACGTTGAAATCAATGTCTAAATGGTGAGCTCCAAAAGTCAGATATAAAGAACAAAACTTTTGAGGAAGAGAAAAACAAATTATTTGGATTCTTAGAAAGCTGTTCAAGGCAAGCCTGAAAAGTCAGTCTCATGAAGCAGTTGGCAGCTTAGTTTAGAGATGACTTGTTACTTTGGAAATCTGACTAAAAAGCATAAATCCATGGAATCCTTTTACCAGTAAGATTAAAAATGATATGGAAAAAACAAGCTTCACATGTGGTTTCAAAGATTCATATGTTGAAGTGGGAAATGAAGACTTCAGTAAAGTAACTTTTGACTTGCTCTTTAACAAAGCAAGATATTCCCTGGGAATCAACTTAAATGAACCACCTTGATACAAAAAAATGTGCAAAAAGAATGGCTCCAGTAGAACCCCAATTGCTGCTTGGACTCATTAGGCACTAATAACAAAATACTAATTGAAGTATATACAATGCCTGAGGAAATTCTTATAGAAATAAGTACAAATAAATGCAAAGTATGATCTTACCAATATGAGCTCTGTCAGAAATTATTAGTCTCTTTTCCCAGCCTTCTAGTCCTTAAAAACAAGTGAAAGTTTGCATTACGGTTTAGTATAACATTTTTCTTTATCTGTATTTTTCTTTCACTATGACTAAGTATAGGTTTGGAAAGGGAGAGAAGTTCAAAAAGGACTGAACTGTCATCTCACTTTAGAGAAACACAAGTGAGTCTCAACCACTGAAGTTTAATTCAGGCCTTTGTATTGTGAAATTCAGACTGTTTACCAAAACCTAAAAATTCTAGATCTACACACTTGAAAAGCACCAATTTCCAGCTGTAGCTAGAACAAGCTCAGCTTCACTATCAGACAAGTTCTAATATTTCCCTTCATTCAGGTTCATTTCATAGAACTTTTTCCTTTCTTTTTTCTTTAAAAAAGAAATATAAAATGTATTTACCCCAATATCTACCATATTGCCATCTGCCTACCAGGGGCCAGAGTACATTTTCTTGCCCTCAGTTTAAAAAGTGGATATTGGGCCAAAAAACTATGATGGCTGTATGGCATCTCTTTCTGTTCTAGTATATTTCCAAATTATAGCAGATATATTCATATAGTAAGAGTTATATACAGACCAATTATGAGATGTTATTGCGCCTGAAAAACAACTTACTTTCAAATTTGAAATCTGACCTTCAAAACTGACAAAAAAGGCTTAGAAGCAATTCACAAATCAGAATGTGGTCTGCTGGGAGGCAGTAAGGCAGGGGTGACCAATTATTTGGGCACGCAGGCCACATAGGGAGCTTTGGAGACCTGTCGCAGGCCAGGTTAGCACCCCTCCCCCCAAAAGGCAACAGCTCACCAAAAGTTTCTATGTATGATGGGGCTGTGGGCCAGCAGATAGCGAGTTTGGAAGTGAGACAAGTGGCCAGGGCCGGGGAGACCCCAAAATTGCGGGCCAGTGACAGCACAGGGCTGGGGCAGAGCGAGGATCCTGCTCCCCACACGTCCCTGCCTAGAGAACTGGGGCTGTGCCAGGAAGGCAGTGGTGTGCTGCAGATGCAACAGATCCGGCTCCAGCAGCACCAGCAGGAGAAGCCCCCACAGCAGTACCAGCACAGCTGCCCTGCCACCTCCCCCCTCCATGAAGTCCACTGCCAAAGCAAGACATGGAAACTTCAGCCAAATTCTCTCTGGACAGAGCTCTCTTCCCACCTTTGTTCACACAGGGCTCCCTGCATCTGTTCGAGGGAAGGGGGGAATTCAAGCAGGTTGAATCGGAATGAAGGAACCCGACCCAGTGATGGGTGCAGGTTCCATGCAGAGAGCAGATCGCAGCCCTGGCCCTGACTCTGTGCTGTCCCAAGATCCTGGGTCTCCCCAGCCCATTCAGCTACCAAACATCACTCTCCACTGGCCTGCAGCCCCATCCCAGCCTCCTAGCTTGCCTGCTTGGTGCTGCCCCCAGCTGTGGCGGTGGGGCCAACGGGCTGGAGTGCCTGGGCAGCAGGGCCTGGGCAGCAGGGCCAGGGTTGGACTGGATCTGGACCATGGGCTGTATTGTATTTTGCCCACCCCTGCTGTAAGGTGATCCCTGATGGGAAGTGTATTGCCAGAAGTGACCAGAGAAATATCTACTCAGTCAAACATGTTGGCTCAGGAACTCTGGGGACCCCTTGCTGTTTGCAACTTCATGAGAAGGGTACTCAGAAACTATCTTAAAGTAGTATCTCAAAGCTGTTCTCACCTTTTCCTTTCTTTAAATTCTTCTCAGCTTCTTCAAACAGTCCTGGCAAATGAATTACTACACCATTTCCTGAAGGAAATCACAAGTACACAGTTTAATATATTATGCTAAATGAGAAAAAGCCATAGTTCTTTTTTTTTTTTTAAAACATGAAAGTGTAAATCCATCCCCAGCCAGTGATAAAAGGTAGAGCAGGTAGACTGGAATTCCCCCAACCCCCGCTGAGTTGGGGGACTCCAATCCCACCACCACCCCCAACACATACACACACTCCAGCTGGGGAAGTCCCAGAATAGACCTCCCTCCCCCTCCCATCCTGAGACAGCACCAGGAACAGGAGAGGAGGGGTGGGGCTAGAGGAAGAAGCTGCAAAGACACAGCCTCAGAACATGGAGACAGCCTCAGTACCTGGATTGGCCCCAAATTGGAGCTTGATCCCCCACCCTCCCAACCCAACAGCTAATATCTATTGAGTTGGGAGGGTCAGTCTAACTCATGGCACTTTCTGTAAAGTGCCATGAGTTAGACTAGGGAGCTGAACTTTTGTTTGCGCCTCAAAAAATCTTAGCTGGTTACTAATGTTAATTTTGATGACAGAAATGCCATACTTACCAATGAATGCAGTGACTTTTGGATTGATGATCCCACTGGGTAAAAGATGAAAATCATATTCTACAGAGTCTACAACAACAGTATGCCCAGCATTGTTGCCTCCCTGGAACACAAGAACATTTATGGTATTTAATATTGTTAAACATCAACATAGTATGACCAAAACAGAGTTTAGGCTACCTTGGCTCCAAATCTTCAGCTCCTTTTTATAAGCAATAAATGAAAGTGAGATCAGGTGAACTGTCTAGCTTAACTTGATACAGTCAATGCTTGCCTTTTTCTACCATATCTGCTTTCACTGACACTTAAATAATTACTCTTTCTTAACTCATATCTTCTTTAACTGATTCCCCAAAAGCTCTTTTGGATCAGATGTATAAAGATGAGTAAAAGTGTAAAACTTTTTCTGAAGCAGAAAGGACAAATGCTCTGAAACAATATACTACTTTTTGTAAAAATAAGATAAAATAAAAAAAATAAAAAATATAGGATTGCCTATATAAATAGTTCTGCTGAACTTTAATTTCTACTATAAACACTATTCTAGTCATTTGATCGTCTGAGACTACAAATAAATGTGGGGGACAGGGGACACTTAGTACCGTTATACTCCCAGTTTCATTAACATACCAAGACAGATCAGCCCTTTAGTCTAACATGAGAAAGAACAGTTCCAATATTGGGCTCAGCCCCTTGTATATTTCTCTGGTCAATGATCAGCAAGGCATGGACTTGCCAAATCCTTTCCTCAGCCAGAAAGGAAATTTGCAATGACATGGAATTTTCATCTTTAGAAAGAAAGCTATTACAGGGTAAATCTAGGTCAAGCTAAAACGTAGTCCCTCCTAAGCTGCAGGAAACCCATTTACATGGAATGAATAGGTAGATGGGAGAAAGTTTACAAGAAGTGAAGTATTAAAAGATTTATTAAATTGGGAAATATTACTGGAACACAGAAAGGAAGTCTGTGTTCAGGTCTTAAAGAGAACCAAACTAGGTCTATGAAACTGTAAAGGTTACTGGCCAAGCAAATATCCCTGTTTTTTCTTGATTATACCTTTCAAAACAAGCATACCTGCTCCCAGAATTATGAGCCATTTATCAGTGCAACAGAAAGTCAAATATACTCAAGGGGCTCTGCTGAAATCTAAATTTTCAAGACAAGTGTTCCTCTATATTCAGCTTAAAGTTCTGAAAGGCCTGTTTACAGCAGGACAAATATAAATTTTAAGTTTGCTGGGTATCAGTTTAAGCCCCTTCTTTAAGTGAACACTATATAAACTGCAAATTGGAAAAAGCTGTTTGGCTCTCATTAGCCTTAAACCTTCAGTTTTGAAACCAGGATCCAGTGGGAAGTATTAAAGTATTTCTTAAGATCACAAATCAAGACCAATCTACTATGTTTTCAACACACGCACAAAAACAAAACAAAAAACCCCTCATTCTGTTTCAACATTGCCAGAGCTCAAATGCAGCAATTTATATTGGTGCATTAAAAGAGCAAACCATTGGTGAAGAATTTGTCCTGTTGAAGTTTGCAGCAAAATTTCTACAGGCTTTAAAATTCATCATCGGCAATCCTTTGCAGTTGAGAATGACCGTCTTCTACAACAGCCTTATCTGTGGGTCCAAAGATGTCTGACAATGCCAATTGGGGAGCAACAGGTTCTACTGCAACTCGGGCATGTTTTTATGCAGGATGGGTGGCTCCATATTCTTGATTCAGTCTGTGACAGTGTTTCTGCCACTCCCGCTTTTCCATCTCCTGTTACCATGAGGTTTCAAGGTACTGAGATCCTTGCAACAGACTCTTCCTCCATTTGGGGCAGTCCTAGGTGATAGTCTCCCACAAGTTGATGTTGAATTTTTTCCAGCTGGCCTTGAGGACATCCTTGAAGTGCTTTCTCTGCCCTCCTGAGTGTGTACCTTGACTGAGCTGGGAGAAAAGAAAACTTGCTTCAGGAGTCTGGAGGCAGACATCCAGATGACATGGCTGACCCAGTGACACTGATGTCAGGTGATCATCGCCTTGATGCTCATGGCGTTCGCTTGCAAAAGGAAGTTAACTTTGGTGTACATGTCTTCCCAATGAATTCAAAGGGCCTTTTGTAGGCAGCATGGATGATACCTCAAGTCGCTGGAGAAGCATCTCCTATGTTATCCACATCTCAGCTCTGTACAGCAAGGTAAGGATCACAACTGCTTAATAAACCATGAACTTGGTTTTGAACACGATGTCATGATCTTCAAGCACCCATTTCCTCAGGCATCCAAAGGCTGCACTTGCACACTTGCAGTGATATTGAATTTTGTCTGTCAGCTTTCTCCAAGAGATGGCTTCCAAAGTATGAGAGAAACTCAACGTTCTTCAAAGTCTCACCGTAAATCTGAATTATCAGAGCTGGGGACTGTTGAATCTCGCAGTAGAATTGCTACAGGCTTCAAAATTCAGTGTGTGAAGATTTTACCTCACATTAGTTCATCTCTTGAGAACAGAAGACAACACACCAGCATTCACACAAGAACAGAATTTTCAAGTTTAGGAAAAAGTTAACAGAATACTACAAATTTAAAACGTATTTTTCCTATAGCAGACTATAACAAGGAACTCCTATCCCTGTTACTAGGAAGGGACAGCAAAGCCAGGGCAGCTTACAGAAAGCAGCAGATGTAGGCAGCCAGGTTAAACTGAGCTACAGGACCCAGCCTGAAAACCACAGACAGAGCTGCTGGGTCAGGTGACCGGCAGGGCTTGGGTGCATCTACAGGTCCAGCCTACAGGACTGAATAGGAAGTCTGGCCCAGGTTGCAATAGCGGAAGGAGCTCCAGACAGAACTGGCAGCTGGAAGAGGGATGCAGGCCAGGAAGATACCTGGGATACTGAGAAGGAGACCTCTACTTGGGAGGGCGGGGCAATCATAGAAAGACCCCAGGTGGGGTTTGCTATTGTTTGCATTTACTTTTAATTGGAAGACAAGGCTGTGGCTATGGGAGAAGGTTTGGAGGCCACATGGCAGCGTTACAGGGAGTACTTTGCATGTGGAGACTTGCTCTGTTTAGGAACACGAGGGGCTGAGACCCACGAGCCAAGGTCTGAGGCAATGGACCTAGGCTGAGGGACTTAGCCAGAGAAAAAGCCTCCAAGCTGGGGAGGCTGAAGCTCAGACAATTGTGAGGCCTGAGGGTCCAAGTATTGGTTTGGGGCTGGGGGACCCCACCAAATAACTAAGTCATATCAGAGAGGCACGGGCATAGCTATGGGGGCAGCTGGAGACCACAATTATAGCTCTTAAGTGTTGTTAAGATCAAACAGGCCCATTTTAGGTCTACAGGACCCCTACTATGATGGTTAAGGCACAGCAGCCCTGGGGTCTTTCTTAAAGAAGTACTTCTAGAGAAGTGTAGAGGCAGGATTGAGTTTGAGAGCACAGAAGCCCAAAGGACTTGGCCAAGAAGGACATTTCCAAATAAGAAGTGCTCCAGCCTCTAGTGGTAGCCTCCTCAGTATATCATTATTAAAGTGTAGCAGGAGAGAGGTAAGAGGGGAGGGAAGCCAGAGAACATAACAAGTGCATCAGACCATCACGGTACATCCAGACACTGGGGTCAGACCCCTGAGCCTGCTCAGTTCTTTCAGTAGAGATTTCTAAAAGGAAAATCTCTTCACTATAAGATATGCAACTTAACATGCAAAGGTCAGATATATTACAAATTCAGCACAGGAAACTCCTGAATTGTGATCAACACTTTCAAGATCAAACACTGGGAATGAGCTTTCAAGGTCTGACGCATTTAGAAAACAACATGTTTACAAATAAGTTTTCCATTCTTCTGAATGACTGCGCTTTTAAAGAGGCTATTCAAAGGAGTACTGGTTTAACAACAGTTTCCCTTTTATTTTAGAAATAAAGTATTTTAAAGCTATTTAATACTGCTGTGAATTGCATGCTTATTGTTTCATGTACACAGGATTTATAAAGATCCACGGTCATGGGTCCATGTCCCTGCATGACACAGGGAGCAAGTGTCATACGTTCCTGACACATGCAAAAGCTAGATAACATACCAAAAATTGCCCTGCTTCCTTCCTACATATCATGTACCCTCAGAATCTATTAAAAGGCATGTTTGCCAAGGAAAAATGGAGTTCTATGTTCCAGAACAGCAGCTAGTTTAAGCAGTTCTGCTGAAAACAGTAATCCTTTTCTTGCTTTAAGCTGTTCCCCTTGATCTTTTTTCTTCCATAAAATGAGAGTCTCTCCACTCTTGACTTTAACAAGCCTTTATATTCTTTCTGTTCATACTTTTAGCTGCCTTACTCTACTTGTGGCTGCTTCGTTATAGAAACAGGTAACAGTTTTGTTGAACATTATTGTTGCTCTCAAAAGGAAGGGACAGTAAAACTTGAGGTCCATGTTCAAGAGGATGACGGACGGAAATTCAAGCTGCACAGCTGTAGTGGTTTACATGGGCCTAACCCATGGGTAATTAGCCATGCATGAGAAACTGTATTAGACTGATATTCACTAGCTGATTTAATACACAAATAAAACATGAAATTTTGAATGTATATTTAACATTATAAAAAGGATCTACTCAAAGGGAAGTGAAAGGAAAAATAAAATTGCCAAAGTGATTAACTCAAGACTAACAATAAATTCTTAATCTGTTAAAAGTTGGTTCTCTTACCGGCGCCAGGCAAATATCACAACAATGTTCAGTGGCCTTGTCTGCTTCAACTGTGTGTAAGACATACAAGCTCAGATTGTTCCAGTCACATGAACATACTTGTCATTTTTTTAGTCTGCGTTAAGAATTTCCTGGCACCGTTCAATGAAGGCCGTAGGGGTAAAGGTGTGCTGCACAGCAAGCCATGTTCAGCACACTTATTTAAACCCCATTTGACAGCATTTTGGTCAATAAGTCCCAAGACTCTTTTGTCAAAGCTCTTATTTCTTCCATCCAGCCAGAAAGTTGTAACTGTCTCTAATATTACTCAGGCCACAAAATTAATTATTTAAAGTTGAAATATAAATCAGTACTATTTTTACAGTACTTATTTACCCATCTGAATGTGTCATGCAACAAATGCCAAATGACAGCATGGCACTAAAGCAAATCCCAGCCAGTTGTATTTTTTA